CTCAGCAGGCAGCAGTGGCCTGTGACCTTCCCTGCCGGCTTCCCCATTGACTTTCTGGGGAAGCCAGCAGGGAAGACTGAAAATCGTAATCACATGATCGTGGGGTGCTTGGCAATTACAGGCCACTGCCACATGCCGAGACGACTCCCTCTCAACTCTGGAGGCTGGTTGAAAGCAAGATTTTCAGCCATGGAGGATTTTCAGCCCTAGAGTGGAGAGGCTTCAGAATCCTCTCAACTCTGAGGCTGAAATCCAAGCGGTTCTGAGGCCCTCGCACACCCGACCTGCCTTAATGACCAGGGCATCCCACTTAACGATGGAAACTTGGACTGCTGGAATTGCGGTCGCTAAGCGAAGTGGTCACATGATAATTCACTTAATGACCACATTGCTTAGCGACCTAAATTCCAGTCCCAATTGTGGTTGTTAAGTGAGGATTACCTGTAGAATTTTGCCTTAAAATCACATAACTGGCATTCAGAATTTCTCTACTCATCTATACTTACTTTGGAGTATCCTACCTATCTTGATAAATATATAATCTTCTGGTAGTAGAAACTAATGTGCTCATACCACAACTGCACAAACACTAGCTTCTACCTAGTGGAAAATGAACCTACCTACTTCCTGATGAGAGTTACTGAAGTTGTGTTCCGTTAGTTCCATAGGGTCTTCTCAAATTTAGATGCAGTTTGGAGTGATTGTGTTAATCAGTAACAGTCTTCTCCAAAAGGATGCTGTCCCAAAACCTAGGAAGAGTTCCCATCATTCCTACTCCTAGAATACCTGAAGTGAATGAATTGTGTGGACAGGTAGGGTACCACTCACTCAGTTCTATGCTTCCCCTTGGATTTCATTGGCTCCATCTGCAGTGACTTTTTTCTCAACCATAAGTAAACCTGGCCTCTGCTCCACCAGCTCTTGAGATTACCTGCTATCACATGTCACATTGCCACCTGAACTCTTTTCTAAGAAACTATTCTTGTAGTTGTTATAATACAAAGTTTGGTTGATTATTGTGGGTGAAATGGCATTCTTAATGACTTCTGTTTTAGAATGAAATATGTGGTTTTCCAGATGTTATGGAATTGTAGTTGACCATTGGCCATGATCTTGCTGTGTTCAATGGACTTGCTGTGTTCAATGACATCTGAAGAGGCACATGTTGCTTATGTCCATGTCATGACCTGTCATGCCAGTGTGGTGAAGGTGCTGGCCTAGAAACTAGAAGATTGTGAGTTCTAGGCCTCCCTTAGGCATGAAAGCTGGTTGGGTGACTTTGGGACAGTCACTCTCTCAGCCTTTCCAGACTAACCTGATCTAATTTTTTGACTAGGTAACTCCCTTAGCTATGTGAATTCTGTGGACTTAATATAATTTGGTTTTAAGGAAAACATTTGACAAAAATATCTCACGGTATTTTGATTAGCAAGCTAGTTAAGAATGGGCTATGGGCCGTAGTTTGCTGAGCCCCTGGTCTAGAGTGAGGTATCAAGTAGAGTAGAAAAGGATTGTCTATGTCCTCTACAACATTTTTATTAGTAGATGAGGCAGAGAGAATGCTTATCGAATTTACAGGTGACAAAAAATGTGGTGGAATGCCTTAGAACATACAAAAATAATTCAAAACAGTATTGACTGGCTAAACAAATGGGCTGAAAATTTAGTAGAGACAAGTGCAAAGATTATTCCTTAGAAATGAAGTTCACAGATATTTGTGGGGTGGGGAGAATTCCCGGCTTAATTACCTATGAAAAAGTTCTCAGTTGTTGATTGAAAACTGAGTGTGTAATGTTGCTGCCAAAAAATCCCCCAAAGCTGTAGAAGTACAGTTTTCAACTCATGGGAAGTAATTATTCCCTTTTATTTTGCATTGGTCAAACTTCAAGTACAATATTGTTTCTGGATCTGGACACCAAGCATTAAGACCAGATTCAGGCCAACTGGAACAGGTTTGGTAAGGGCAGGTAAAATGATAAAGGGAGAGCACATGGAAAGCGGTCTTAGAGGAAAAGAGGGAATGTTAACTCCTGACAAGAAAAGTACCTGAAGTGGTGTCACATAGAAGAAGAAGATCTGTTCTCTCTTGTTCCTGAGTGTAGGCCATGGAAAAATGGGTTTAAGTTACCGGAAGGCAACTTCCAATTGAATGTTAAAAAAAATAAATTACTGATGGTGGGAGTCATTAATCAGTGGAACTACTTGCCCTCAGAAAAGATGGTGGGCTCCTCTTCAATGGATGTCTTTAAGAAGAGGCTGGGATGCTTTAATTTAGATTCCTGCATTGAGCAAGAGGGTTGGTGGCCTCAAAAGTTCCTTTCAGTTCTATGATTCTTACACTGATTTGTCTTATACCCATTTGTCGGTCCAGCTCCCTGGTCTCAGCCCCTGTAGCTAGTCAGCAGACCTTCAGAGGCTCTGATTTCTGGCTGCTGCTGCTGCTTTTAAATGCCAGGTCAGTCTGTAAGAAAGCCTCCCTCATCTGCGATTTGATTGTGGATGAGAGGGCCGACCTGGCATGTGTTACAAGACCTGGCTGGGCCCGGAAGTGGGGGGTGGCCCCTTTGGAGATATGCCCAGCTGGGGTCCGGGTATGGCATCAGTCAAGATCCCAGTGCAGGGGTGGTGGTATAGCCATTGCCATCCAGGAATCCCTTACAGCTTTCAGGGGCGCTGCCCCACAGCTCACTGGATGTGAGACCCTGTTCATTAAGTTGGGCTCTAGGGATCAGTTGGGACTGTTGCTGTTGTACCAGCCTCCCTGCTGCACAGCGACCTCCCTGCCCGAGTTCGTTGATTCCATTTCTGGGTTGGCGGTAGAGTTCCCTAGACTTATGCTCTTGGGAGACCTCAATCTGCCTTCTCTAGGAGTGGGGTCTGAGGTGGTTTGGGAGTTCATGGCCACCATGACGGCCATGGGTCTATCCCAGATCATCCAGAGCCCAATACAGAACAGTGGTCACCCCCCTGATCTGGTGTTCCTATCGGAGCAATGGCTATGTGATCTGAAATTGGGGGAGCTCTCAGTGTCTCCCTTGTCATGGTCAGATCATGCCCTGATTACTGTGGAATTCTCTAGCACCACTGTCCAGTGTGGGGAGGCTGAACCCATTAAATTGGTCCACCCCAAGCAATTGATGGACCCTGATGGGTTTTAAAGGGAGTTGGGGGTTGTTCCTGCTAATCTGCTACATGGTCCATCTGAAGCCTTGGTCACCGTTTGGAATAAGATGGGAGCTGAGGCTTTGGATCAGATTGCACCCATGCCGCCTCTACCCTCTCATGGATTCTGTCACTCCCCGTGGTTCACAGAGGAGTTGAGGAAGTTGAAAAGAGAGAAGAGACATCTCTTAAGGCCTACCTTGTGGTACTTCTCCACCTTTATTGTGTCTGCGGATTTCTGTCCTGTGGCCCTGTTGGATGAGGGGGCTCAGAGAACCTCTTGCAGGGACATGTAGAAGAATTTGTTTAGCATCCTTCAGACAAAGTTGCTCAGATTCGCTCAGGGTTGGACACCAGCCTTGTTGCAAGTCTGGAGGAGATGCCTGGAGAGGAATGTTGCCTAATTATCTGGGATCGATTTGAACCTGTTGGAGCTGAGCAAGTGGACAGGGTCCTTAGGACTGTGAGCTCAGCCACCTGCTCTCTAGATCCATGCCCCTCCTTGGCTTGTGAAAGCAGTCCGGGGAGTGTCAAGGGGGGTGGGTTCTAGTGATGGTGAATTCTTCTTTGAGTGAGGGGGTTATTCCTGCACCTCTTAAGGAGGCTTTGGTTCACCCCCTCCTCAAGAAGCCATCTCTGGGCTCCATGGTACTGGACAATTTCCCACCAGTACCTCACCTCCCCATTCTGGGGAAGGTAATTGAGAAGGTGGTTGTGCAGCAGCTTCAGCGGACCTTGGAGAAAGTGGATTATCTGGATCCCTTTCGGGATTCAGACCTGGGTATGGGACAGAAACAGCATTGATCACACTTTTGGATGATCTATGGCAAGGGCCAGATGGGGGGTGCACATCCATCCTTACCCTGCTTGGCTTCTCTGCGGCTTTTGATACCATCCACCATGGTATCTGCTTGGATCGGCTTAGGGGATTGGGGGCGGGCGGCACTGTGTTGTCCTTTCTCCAGGGTCGTTTCCAGTCGGTGGTGGTCTGGGAGGAGAGATCCCACCCCCGGCCCCTACTATGTGAGGTGCTCTCTCCACTCCTATTCAACATCTACATGAGGCCGCTGGGTGAGCTCATCCGTCGCCATGGGGTGAAGTATTAGCTCTATGCTGATAATACCAAAATTATGCATCTCTGCCCCTGGCAAATTAAGTGATGCCATGCCATATCCTGGTGTCTGGAGGCTGTGAGGGTCTGGGTGGGGAACAACAGGCTTCAGCTGAACCCCGGCAAGGCTGAGCGGCTTTGGGTTTTGGGGCCTGCCGGTTCCAGGACTATGCCGTCTTTGGTGCTGGGTGGGGTTTTATGGCTCCAGACAGACCCAGTGCGCAATCTGGGGGTCCTCCTGGACTCTCAACTTCTGCTCGAAGAGCAGGTGGCAGTCGTGGCTAGGAGGGCTTTTGCACAGCTTCATGTTGTGCACCAGTTGCGTCCGTTCCTCGATCGGAGGGTTTGCTTACAGTCACTCATGCCCTAGACACCTCCTGATTGGATTACTGTAATGCACTCTACATGGGGCTGCCCTTGGAGAGTAACCAGAAGCTTCAGCTGGTACAAAATGCAGCGGCGCGGGCAGTTCCAGAACAGCTCATGTTAGACCTTCTGCTCTGCGAGCTGCATTGGTTGCCAATCTGCTTCCAGGTCCAATTCCAGGTGCTGGTTTTGACCTTTAAAGCCCTTCAGGGCACGGGGCTGAGCTATTTGAGGGACTGCTTCTCCTCGACTCCATCTGCTCGTCCCATCAGATCCGGCAACAGAGGCACGCTGCGGGTCCCGTCTCTCAAGGAACTACACTTGGCGGGTCCCAGCAAGGGGGCCTTCTCTGCCATGGCGCCCGCCTTACGGAACATTCTCCCCCCCCCCCGAAGTGAGGTTGGCTGCATCCCTGTTAATGTTTTGGAGGTCCCTCAAGACCTGGCTTTGTCATCTGGCCTGGGGATCTCAGGGGACCGGAGAAA